TTTTTCCTTTTCTGGACAAATTATTCATTGAAAGGTTGTTATTACATTGTTATACAATTGCAAGAGAAAGCAAATTGGCTGAGGAAAAAAAACAAAAATGAATTGAACTCAGAAAATTGGTGATTAAGGTTATCATGATCATAAGAGTAAAATGTTTCTAATGGGCAACAATAAACCAACTGAGTAATTGAGTTGAAAGGCTAATTTACTCTACATTGTTGTACATTTTCAACAAATTGAACGTTCTCTTTGACGATAAACTCATTCAAATTGAGCAACAAAATGTATTCAGTAATCAAGTAAGTCTTGAGCGTTTGAAATCAGTTGAAGAAAAGCATTAATGATCTGATAGTGATAACATAAAGAGATTTATAATGATGATTGAATAGGAAATGAGAAGCAAAATGAAGAAGTATTATCAATAATAATGGGCGTTGGTTAATCGGGAAACATGGAGAAGTCTTGTATTCCTTGGATTTATCATTATTTGCAACGGAAATTTGAAACAATCATTTTGATTTGAATTGATCAACAAAAATCTGGGAATCGCACAGAACACTGAAAATGAAGGCGAAAAGAGAAAAACAAAAAAGTCGTAAAAAAAGTTGCCTTTTTGTTTCCATAAGTGATAGGAAATTACTCGAGACATGATTAACACATAACCAATACCATTTATAAATATTCATTGATTCAATTAGCTGTTGTTAATCTGAAAAGGTTAACAAAGATTTCAATTTTCTTTCTTTTCTTTTTCCAATTAGTTCAGGGAAATGTAAAAACAAAATGGATTACATTGATGCATCTTGATCAATTTTACAAGAGTTTACATATTGATGAGTAAACAGTATAATCTGGAAATGCTATTCCATTCAGTTTGCCATGCTTGTCATTATTCACTCATCACATCATTTCAAATTGAATCTAAACTAACCAAATCATCACCTAATACGAAAACCTAATAAGAAAATGTTCAATAGAAAAGAGATTGAGTTGAAGAAATTAGCGAGAAAAAAACAGAAAATCGAAAATTAGTTTATTCAATGTTTAGAATTGAATTTACAACACTTTATCCAATGACAGATGAACTTTACTTCAAGATAATGACATAAACAAGTCTATGTTTATCCTGAATTTCATTATAAATAGAGTTTTCAACTTGTTTTATAACAGAATCAAGAAACAAAGTTTCATTAAGCAAACAGTTCAACTTCTTTAAAATCCTTTTCTTTCATGTAAATTCAATTTTAAGGCTTGCAAAGTCAATGAAATTCAACTTTTTTTCCTTTAAAGACAAAAAATTGATTGAAATTATTTGTGATAAGTTGTTGCTAGAAATGGCGAATATCCAAATTCCATATGATAACTCGATATAGATCGATTCTTTTCGGGGAAATGAGCATCGACTAGTTTTGTAATAATTGTTAAACTTTACATGTGCTTTTGTACATACTGACTATTGCAATTATTCTCGTTTTAATAGAACCATCTTTCAATATACCGGACTCTTTTTTCATTTTACCTGTTTGCAGTCATGACTTACAAACGGTTGCTGTCACAGCCCTCAGCTTCACCATATGAGGCTCAGGAGATTGAGGACCATAAGTTCGAACGCTTAAGGTCATAATGACCTTTATGTGATCTGCAGAAAAACGATCTCTCTTGTATCATCGATTAACTGAATGGTATTGAAACAGTAATATCTTTTGCCCAGCATGAGTTATGAAGATGTAACCAACATCAACGATCTGAAAATTTTGCACTCTCAGAAATGGCTTTCAAGTGTCAGTTAGAGGTCAAATAAAGAAGTGACCTTGAGCGTTCGAGCTTACGGTTATTCAACATGCGAAAGCTCACTGTGCAAAGCTGAGGTCTGTAGCATCAACCGCGCGTTCGATATAACTGCAAACAGGTGTAAAATGATTGTAAATCAGCGTTCAAAATAGTAAACTCGACTGATTTTCAGAACACAGAGTTTTTGGTAAGATGAGATGATAAGACTTATAAGAGGAAAAATATTTTGAAAATATTGTCAGATGGTGTTGGTAGGCATCGAAATCTATCTGAAATCTGAATCGTCATGATTTACAAGGCTGGAAAAGCTATAAATGAGCTACGATGTGATTCCTTAATTTTTCTGTTTCTCTTAATATCTATTCTAATCGATTCTTTTTGCGATTAATCGACAAAAATATCAATTACCTAATTATTTGAGAAGCATACATTTCATGTCACATTAAAACAATCATGATTGATGAAAAACTGTAAAAGTTGAAACCAATGGCAATAAATTTTTGTGAAAATAATTTGTCTAATTGCTTCATTCCAAAAGTGGTAAAATCATTCAACTTTGTTTGATTGAATTGGAAAGCACAATGGAAGTCACAATGATTTACTCGAGTTCAGGTTTTGCCTCGTTCATTATAAGATTTTTTCGTTTTTTCTCCTTCTCTTCACTCCATGTTTACCTTTCATTATCATGAGTCTTATTATTTTATCGTCATTATCATTGTTTATCCTTTTGTCTGGTGAAGCAAATAAAAGGATCAAACAATGTTGTTATTCATAGTCATTAATTGTGAAAAGATTTTCTGTTGATGAAGAGAAGAAGAAGACGAAAAAACAAAGATAATGTTGTTTTAAACCTCAACAAACATGATGATTTTGATAACGATTGAGAAGAAAAGAAAATGCTAAAAATAAAATGTTGAATAATGAGTTTGTGAATAAAATATGTTGGTAAAGAAGAGAGAAAAAATATGTTTACTTTATCGAGAATTTGAGGTTTTTTCGTTTGGATAATCTTCCCCAATCAATATCACATTTCGCAAGTTAATTAATATCAATTATTAAATATGTTCAGACTGTTGAACATGATGATGATACTTGATATGGTGGCCGGAACAACAAACAAAATGAAAGTAATAATTGTTAAATGGGAGAAAAGTAGCGACAAAATCAAAGCTAGAAAATTGTGAACCAGAAAAAAGAAGAAGAAAAAAGTTGTTCCAAGAGTATTATTGTGTTATCAAGTAAATTAAATAACATTATTAATATTGATATTAAATTGATACAGTTCTGTAGTTGCATGGAAACAATGCTGGTTGGCATGGAAATCAACCTGTAACTATAATTGCTGATGAAATGTTGTATTAATTGAATTAGATTTGTAAAGTTTGTTTCTGCTGGAGAAGCTACAGAAAATGATTAATATTGAAATGTTTCAAGTTTTACTTTTTTCTCTCTCTTCTGTCAACTTTCATTCAGTGGGATTAAACTTGTGATAAACCTGAAGCTTTTTCTGAATAAATTTTAAGTAAAAGTGACAATTTTTTTTCTCTCCATCTTCCAATGAGTGATGAAATGATGATAAATTATAAATGTGTTGATGTGTTGCAAATGCAGAGTTTAATTATTCTGGAAAAACCTTGAGTTTTCTTGGTGTTTCCAGGTGAAGAAGGAAATTTGGTTTGGAAATGGAGAAAATTTTCAATCTTGAATTGGGAATGTCTCCTGTCCATGAATTTATTTGTAAACATTAATATTCAATTTGAGTTTCTTTTACTTTCATTATATTGATGTTCTTGTCTTTGTAATACCATTAAGGTTCTTGATATGATAGAGCATTAAATGTTTCATTCGTCAACAAAAGGTCCTGTAAGGTAAGCTTCGAAAAGAGTTTTCATAGAAAGTTGAGTAAAATGTCAGGTGAAAAGATGTAATTAAAGTGATACAAAGAATATCATGGCATAAATAAATCATAAATGTTAAGTTATGGAATTCAGATAAAGTATTTCACTTGTTTTAGTCGAACCAAATTCATGTCGAATGGATTTCAGAGAAAATATTTTCGATTCTTGTTAATGAAATCGAATTTCCACAAATTCTATCTTTCACCTGAAAAGAGAAAAAATTGCAATTCTTTCTAATGAAATATTGAATACCAAAAATTCTATCATCTGGTATTCACAGGTAAGCGTTATCATGCATTAATATTGAGTTATCTTATTTTCCTATTTGAAACTCTGAATAATTTCTGAATGTTTCGCCTTAGGAAGCTGAAAATCTGTTTGTAAATGTGATTTATTGTGTGAATGATGCCATGAACAATCAACCCCATAGGTCAAATCATTCATCTACAGAAAAAATTTTTAGTTAAACATGAGCTTCTACATGGTATATCGCCCTTTTCAGGCGATTATGAAAAAACTAAGATTTTTTGCAAAAAATCGTTTGAGATTCTTTATCTCGCATATTTTTGAACACGATCTGAAGTTAGTGAAGAACAGTTGGACTGAGATTTGACGAAAATTCGAAAAGAATATTCCTTCCCAGTTGAGAGCTTTTTGATACTGAAAATTCTAAAAAATCTAAACGTTCTTTTGAGCATCTGGATGACATCAATGTACAGAAGCTGAACTTGATTTTTCATGGTTTTAATTTCAATTCTGTATCTGACATTCAGCTTGAATGATAGGGAATGTTTGCTTGGGAATGATATCAATGATAATAATAGTGTGGAATAATGACAATTATAAAAGTAATAATAATATCGATAGCTGGGAGTGAAAAAATTCTGTAGTTGATGATAGAGCTTTTTTGTTCTGTTGGTGTGATCAGTGAGAAATGATGATCGGTATTGTATTAAAGATGCATTATGCTTCATGGAATGAGGTTGAATAGAGTTTGGGAAGCAAAAAATCGAACATCAAGCTTAGTTGCCTGGGAATGATAACAGGGAGTGAGAGTTGAGTGAGCTTGGAGTAAATTGGATAGGAAAATGATCAGTTAGATTACCATTTAAAAGAGCAGGATGATAGATTCTTTATGAACAAGGGGGGAAAAACATGAAAAAGCTGAGGGTAAACATTGAATTTCATGTTGGTTGGAATTATATGAAAGAGCAAAAAAGATGAAGTGAAAAAGGTAAAACTGAAAAAAACATGAGCAAAATTGAAATGAAATTTGAATTTATTTACTCTTTCCATTTATACTCGACTTACCTGTACAGTTGATGGAAGTGAATCCTCATCCAGTTCATCCGAGTCTTCAATTTTATCAATTATCTTGAAATTTATGTTAAACTGTTCATAGTCTATGAGAATTGTTGCTTTCAGTTTTTCATTAACTGAATTGCCTAGGCAAGCATTCATGACTCGATGTTTACCAACACTTTTAAAGCCGGCAACGTAAACGTGAAAAGTTTTTGATGATCGAAGAGAATCACAACTATTTGACGATTTACGGGAACACGTCGGTGACCCTCGAGGAACGTAGGATGACGATGAGGCTACTGGGACCACAGTTGATGAGCCAGGTTGATGGTGATGCTGTTCACTGGGGTGGTGAGGCATGGATGGATGATGATAATGATGATGATGGTTGGTCTCTTCCTTGGCCACATAATTGTCGGGTGATGCATTGCCAAGGAAAAAGTCACCCATTTTGACAACACTGCCCTTTGAGGTGCACCTAAATGATTGGACTCGACGAGCACCTCGAGGTTCACCAACCATTGAGTTGCAAGTTGTAGTTGGAGTTGAGCAATTGGTGGCATTCAATCCAATAGCTGAAGCTCCGGGTAACGGTGATGGCGGTCCATTGTGTCGGTACAAGGACCAATCGTCTATCGACTCGAGAGACCGGGGATAAGTATAATCACGTGTTGTATAAGTAGTTTTGGGCACTCGAAGGGAGCATCTCTCGCGTCTTCGATGAGTATAATTCCGTGCTGATTTAACACGACGAACTGGAATTTGACGTCCATGGATAGACGTTGGACTTTCTGGCTCTAAATCATCAAAAGGTTCAAATCGAGTATCAAATATCATGATGAGATAAGTTGAGCTTGGATCTTGGATTTCAATTTATCCTCACTTTGATCATAATCATTCACCAAATAATCCACTTTGCAGTCTGACGATTAATCACTAAAGTACAGAAAACTTGATCAAAGTTTCCTAGCAAATGAAACAAGCACAATGAAGGTAAAACACGCAAGAATTTGATACAAACTTTAAAAAATCTTTTCCAATCTCAAAGGGTCAACATATTACTGTAAAATTGAGCCATAAAAGTTTATCTCTATTCAGTTGATTTACATGTTACTCAGAGTCGAGACTAAATTTTGTTACAATCTGAAGCATCCAACGAGGTAAAGCACATGAAATGATCAGATACTTGATAAGAAATAAGAAACAACGCAAACAATGAAACTGGAAAGAGTAAAATGGCTTGGAATTTTTTCCCTTCTGAACATTGAACTTTTCTTTCACCAATTCATCTTCCAACATTCTCTCTCTCTCACCTCATACCTATCATGCTCAGTAAATTTTTGTTGCAGCAAAAAGTACCGAGAAAAAAAGAATAATCAATACAGAATTGGTCAAATGCGCAAAATCTTTTTTACTCTTCAAGTTTTTTCCTCTCATCTTTCAACATTCACCTTAAAAGGTAAAGAGAAAAGATTGAATACAAAATGTAGAATAAATGCAAAAAGGAGAAAAAATTAAACAAATAAAAATTGAAATGCCAAAAGAAATGCACACGAAATGAAAAATCGAAAAAAAGTGTCGGCAAGAAGAGAAGGAAAAAAAAGATTGATCAAATCGAGTTTCGTTTAAAGGTGATAAAGAGTTGAAATTACTTTGTCTGATGAGATTGAAAAGTATCGTGAAAGACTCTTGTTTGATATCCAATTTTTTACCCAATTTTTTTCGCCATTATCAATATTGTTAGCTGGAAGGTGAAAATATTTTTCACTCCAAGAACACAAGTTAACAGGGAAAGAGGAAACTGAAGGATGGTACACTGATTTTGTACAATAATACCAACAGGTTAAGAGACACAAAATGATTGATTGTATTGCAAGGTAACATTGTGTTCATCCTTACAAGTAACTCACTAGTTTTTACCCCTTTGCAATAGGATTAGCTTAATGATCCAGAAGAGTTGAAGATAAGTAAAAGAAGAACAACAAAAAATGTAAACATTGGCTGGAACCAGAATGTAATGAATAATGGCGCTTTCCTTTTTCGTTGTAATCAGCAAATTGATCGATCATTTTTTTTTCCTTTGTTGCTCACAATTGATCAACTCGAATATCGTTTCATTAGTAATGATAAATTAATTGCTTAAAGGTTTATACTCTTCAATATTTCATTTTTTTCAATTCCTTGGTGAACTTTTGGTTTAAAGTTCAACTTTGGAACATTTCGATTTCGAAAGTTTAATTCATTTAATTTTTCAGTTCAAGTTCAACTTTCTCTTTTACTTTTTATTCCCAATTTTGTCCTGCCAATTATTCAATTAACTAGAGTCACTCATTTCAGATTTATGTTCTGTGATATTTGGCGCAATTGAGTAGTCTAATTGAATTACATTACTGTGACTTTTATTTATTGCTGTTCAATCAGATTCAATGGTAATTTGGATAATTAACTTTTCTCTCTAATTGTGTGTACATGAGAATAATATTTAACCTTGCAATTTGATATAATCATTAACATGATATTTATCGATACTTGGCAGCTGATAAATTCTGACTTTTTTCATTTACTCTTTTCTGGTGTATATTAATGATTATGGTAATTGTGATCAACATTATGATGATGCTCATGCAATATCAACTGTTACATTAGAACATGTTATCAACAAGTAAGTAATACAATATGTATTAATACTTACGAAGGAAGCTGCGAACATTCGAATCGATTACAATGATCTCAAGTGTCTCATTTGATTCGTACTAATGAACGATAAAATTACGCTTTTGATTAAAAAATGAAGCGAGTGTTCGGAAAGCGTCCTTTAACGTCTATTGATGTGTATACATGATACATCACTGTACATCACTGTATATCGACTCCAATTGCGATGAGCATTTTTGTTTCTTCATTAAAATGACATTTAGCAAAATTCATTTTTGATTCAGTTTTTCTGTTTATCTTTAGTTTGCTAGCCAAAAGATCTCGAGAAAATTAACTGCTCATAAAATTAGGTACTTTTTAGGACCGAAAAATGGCCAAATTTGGACACAAAGATTATTAAAAGATTTACAATATTTGCTTATAAAAATTTCATCGTTCAACCGCAGGCAATCACGATACGTTACGAGTCCGAGTAATGGAAAAACTTAAATGGCATTTGAATGGGTTCTGTCCAAATCCGCAGCGTGCCTGCACTACCGTGGATTCGAATTACTTCTTTGTTGGTGAAACATTAAAACACGAATGTTTGCAGGATCTAATCATAGATTTTAAAGTATTGATCTTGTTTGAAATGTTAATTACTTTTATTAGAAAATAAAGATTTATTCAGATACATTTCAAACAAACCAAGTAAAACCACTTTGACTCTTTTGTCTTTCAAGACCATAACTTTACAATTTTTGATCAAAATTCGTTCATCGTCGAATGCATATTAATTTATCTTCACTGTGAACAAGTAACAAACATCACCTTGAATGTCCTTGTTACTCTAGTTTTATTATTCTCCAAATGACAAAAGTCTATACTTGACCTTAAGTTTTGACCTTCGGTTCGTGAGCGGTGAATCTGACAATGAAAAAACTTACATCCCATGACAATCAGAATCTTTCTCCTTTTGCAACCAAATTCAATCAAGTTGATTCAGTTCAAACATTCATTTTACGCATTTTGCTTCATAACTGATTGATATGGCAATAGATGGCGTACAACAAATGTTTCTCCATTCAATTGCCGACTTGACCATTTTAATTGCAAATTTTGGCCATCAGCCAATTAAAGGAAAACATTGTAAAGTTATATCAATTTGCAGCACTTTATTCCCTAATTTTAATTTTCCAATCACAACTTGGTCGATATCCAAAGATCAACATTTAAGAGATGTTATTGGATCATAAATGTTATTTTGATTATCCAAAGTATAAAAATCTTTAAGAAGCAAATTGCTTTTAAATTGATGATTATCAATACCTCTCAATGGGTTAATGGTAATAAGCTGTTGCATGTGAAGCTTCCAACTGCATGGTTGTCACGTCCATTCAATCAAATTTGGTGAATCTTTTAACAGTATTTTTGGTGATACTGACTTGTTAAGAAGCACGTAACCGAGTGACCTGATATGACCAGTGCTTACAGTATTATGTATCAACTAGAGAAGCATCAAACTTTCAAGTTTGTTCGTGTGAATTATTGTCATCTCGAAATGTTTAACATTTGTTGAGGAAAATGGCAACAATTAAAGGTTAATTCATTTAGTGTCATTCATTAAACATTTTTCATCGCGAGACTGTACAACACGAAAATGATCCTCTTTACAAGACGTTAATTAGTACTAATTGAAGAGGAAAAGGTAAATAATTGCAAGTTTAAAATTGTAATCAATGGTTAGACGAGTGAAAGAGTAAAGGCAAAAAAATGTTTTTCCTACTATTGTGATGAATGGAAAAATGAATCAGATTTGATTAGAGGGATGAATGAAAATTTTAATTTAAATTGCAATTCAAACAAAATGAATGTAAATGATAAACAATTTAATGTAGCTAAAATGTTATGATTAAATAAACAACAATGTTAGGTGAGTAAACAATTTCGTTCAACATTTAATAACCTAAAAGATCATAATTAATCTGTAAACAAATTCATACATTTATGAATCTTTTGTTTTGGACTGTTGATTAATTGAAAGTTATTAATTCATTCTTAATTTAATTATCAAGATAAAAGGTTTCCATTAAAATGAATTAATTGAGGGAAAAACAAGTTTTCTCAGAATCAAAGAGAAACCATTAATTTTACAGCAAATAATGAGAAAGGTTGATACCGACTTTTCTCAGCTGCAGGTCCAACATTTAAACTTTGCCATCACCTCTTGCTTGGATCAACATTTTATTAAAAAGTCCACATTTTGGTTTTGAAATAAAAATGTGGGCAAAAAATTGCAATGAGCTAAGGTTGAGAAAAACAATAATAAAAGTGTCATAAGTTCAAATTAAAGGAAATAAAGTTAAGTTTAAAACTTGATGAGTAAACAGAAAGAAAAGATGCGACGCAAAGGTGAAACATTTTGTGACTTTGACTCACTGAGTTTTCAACTTATCCTAGCCATTAGATAATATCGGAATTTTTAAAGGATTAATCATCTTAAAATGTAAAATGGGGAAGGTAATATTCCCAGTGAACCGATTAATGAGGCTCATTTTTGAGCAAGTTTCATTCTGGGCAATTTGATATAACAGTAATCTGAATCGAGATTTTTCTCTACGAAAACGTTCTCTTAATTGCATTGATTCAAAGAAAAGTTTATCAAAAGTTTCTGAGCAAGTTCACTTCTAAGTTGTTGGACAATTTGTTCAAATTGAACCACCGTTAATAACGGTTGACAGTGACATCAGAATCAGTAAAACTTCATTGCAATTTCACTGTTTGTCAACAAATTGATTATTTAAAAAAAATTGGATCAGGAAATTAAATTTAAAAATTTCAATAACTTGTAATTTAGCAAATCTTTTCCAATCAACAAATCAAATTAGAGCAACTAAATGAGCAATAAAATGTTAGTTTAACCAATCAAAGTCATTTCACAGAAATGTCAATCAATTGTTGGCAAATCAAACATTGAATGAAACAAGTTGCAGTTGTAAATCAAGAAACACTTTACACTTGATTATAAACAATTTAAACAAAATTAACTACTTATCCAGATTAACATACAAAAAAAGGATACACAGTTTTAAATTAATTTGATCAAGTAAAGGAAATGAATGCAATGAAAACATGAATATTGAAATAATCCAAGTTAAAGGTAATCCAAAAGTTCCAATTGAGGTGAGAAAGAAAAGTAAAAAAGTTGGTTCGAAATGAAAATAACATTGTTTTCTTTTCCATGTAAATGACTAATTATCCGAATAATGATAGTAGCAATAAAACTTTTCACCAAAAATTATAATATATCAAGGATGGACATGATGATGATGTTTTTTTACTTGATGACCTCGACTAAGTGAGAAGCAAGAAAGACTTTCTTTTTTCACAGTTGTTCTTCAAATGTTAATGGCTTTCTCATGATGTTCATCTTGTTCAATTTCGTCTTCACATTCATATTCGTCAGTCTATTTTCTCGAGTCAAAATTTATCATCATTTGAAGGACAACTTGATCATATTTTAACATCATTTTACACATGGAAAACAATAAAGAAAAGAGGAAAAAAAATTCGTCCATTTTTCTTCCCATTTGCATCTTTGATGTTGATCAATGTTCATTTCCACTGATTAATAGACAATCATTTACATTGTTCTCGAGTTAATTAAATTTTCCGGTAAAATTAATTAATGGCAACAAAAGCGACCCAAAAA